GTGTGCCCCCCGCCGGTTTATTGTTTTAAGCAGGAAAAAAGTTGTTTTTTTTTCCCCGCCCCTGGGGGGCCGTTAGGGGGCCCCGGGTGTTTTTGTTTTTTTTTTAATTTAAAATCGCCCCGGCGGGGGGGTTTTGTTTTTTTTAAAATTAGCATCGACCGCCCCAACCGGCTGAGAAATAAAAAGAGACTTCATTTTTGTAGGGGGAAAAAACCCAGAAACAGTTTTTTTTCCAAGGTAAAAGGGGTTTCCGACAGGGGGGACCCAAGGGTTGGAGGACCCCATTGTCCGGTTTTTGCTCCATCATTTGTTTTTCCCATGTTAGCATCATCCCCCTGTACCGGGTTTTTTTTTTTTGAAATGGGGGGGGGTTTTTGTGTTGGTTGAGGGGTTTGGGGTTTTTTCCCCGGGGCGCAACCCCCCCGGGGGTACGCCCCCGTTCATGTTTTATTGTAGCAGGAGGAAAAAGGGGTTTTTGCCCCCCCCCCCCCCCGTGCCACCCTCTCTGTGCGTACTCTAGCTGCCGAGGGCGTTGCGCACGTGTCCCGATTCGTTGTGGGCCTCCATATTCAAAGCGTTGCAGTTTGAGTCAAGAACGCCCCGGGTCATCCACCGAGGCCGTGCACATTTTCGCGCACAAGCAGTGACGTTGCTGGTGGTGTCGGCCGCCGTTAAGTTGTAACTCTCGCGTTCGTTGTGTATACGCAAGCAGCTGATATATTTCGCTTTTCTTGCGCCTGTTCGCCCGCGCCTTTTCTGCTCCCCGTTCCACATTTTTTTTTTTTGCGTCCGGCGATAGATCGTGATGGTGGCGGTGGCAGTGTCGGCTTGTTCCTGCATGAGAAAACGGAAGAAAAAGGTTGGCTCGCTGTACGACGAACGGCGGGCCTAGTGACGGAGGTTGCGCCCCAGCCCATCGTCTCGGTCGGGTGTTATTCACGCCCCAACGTGTGGAGATGCCACCCGCGTGGACCGCCTGCATCCGGCCGTGTTCGCCGCCGGCATGGACGGTGACACCGCGATGCCAATCTCTCCAAGGCGATTTCACGCGATAGGGAACGTCACTGCTGTTGTGCTTGTATCACCAATTGTATCACGGCGAGCGGTGGCGCCGAGGGTGCGGATGAACCGAAAACCGGCGCTCTTTAACGGTAGTCCTTGTAGAGAACCGGGTGCAGGGAGGGCGTTTCACTTTTCCTCGAGGGTATTTCGGCGTTCGCCACTATGTTGCAGTGTGGTCTGCCTCTGGCGGGGTTTTAGTGTCGCTGTGCTCTCGCCGGTGTTCGTGCGTGGTTTTTTATCATCCGACGCGTGCACCAACTGAAATTTCAGGTCTTTCGGTCTTGAAAACGCGTTGCGTGCACTGCGATCTGTCCGGGTATGCGGGTAGGTGAGTTGTTGCTGGCTCATCGAACAACACTGGTATGCGATGGGCTAGGATGCAGGGGGCGCACTTTTCTCCACGGAAACCGGTAGAAACTTTGTATCTACATACGTGTGGCATTAATTGAAAGTGGTGAGTTATCCACTGCTTTTCCTTCCGGTCCACCAACAGTGCGATCCATATCTAGTGCGGCATTTCCTTTGTTTGCGGATGCCTTCAAAAGGGGACGAGTACGTGGGAGAGACCAAGGAGAAGCAGCAGCAGCATGGCATGCGCGCTTTTGTTGGTGACCTGATATCTAATGTTGTATGTGTAGTTTTTTTAACGATTTTGACGAAATGAGTATGGAGCCGATTGGGTTGGTTAATGGACGCAGGCACGTTCAGGCCGGGTCTTCGATGGTGATACATGCGTTAGGCTGCCGCTTGGTCGTTGTATAGTCCAGTCTGTGGAGTACATAGCGGCGTTTACCAGGTGTCGCAGAGAGAATGTGGATTTTTTTGTGCCAAGCACCATGTTTGTGTAATTCTCCTTGCGAAATCACTGATAACCGTGACGTTTGGCCCGCGTTCTAGGCGCTGTTTTGGCGATTACGGAGCGGATTGATGCTCCCCATTTGCCCAGGAGCAGAATTTCTGAGTTAGCGGCGAGTGGGCGTGTGCGGAACCTCTCCGGCTTACACGTTGTGGCAAATTGTTACAGTCTGCAGTGACGTTTTGGCGTTCGCGTGACATTTCAGAATGGTTGTTTTTGAAGCATGCAATTGGCGTCCTACTTCTGTGCGCGTTTCAATAAAGTTTCCGGAGTTTTGTTCCTGGCCTATTTGATAACCTTGGCAAGCTTTGTCGGGCTCTACAGCAGAGGTGTTGTTCCGGTCGTTGTGACGGCGACCTATGTTCACTGAATAAAACCATCACAAAGTACGATTATTACCAAGTATGCGGACTTGAGGGGGTGCCCCGTGAGTCTCTTCTTGTGTTAATACAGACAAGTTACTTTTTCGGCGTATCTAAATCCCCCCCCGGGGAAGGATTCTACGAAATCCCCCCCCGCGTGGGGATTAGTGTCTAAACACCCCGCCACCGGCTGCATCATCTCTTCCCACAAGGCAACAATCGACGCAGGACATGCACGACTTTGTTGCTGCTTTTGGCCGTGCATTTGTCTCAGAAAAAAGAATCCCACTTGGCAGATGGCAAACCAGTGGAGACGACACCGTTTGTGACTATTGCCGTAGATCGGGATAACTTTCGTACCCGAGATCGCGATGTGTTTTCAACGCGTTTTCTCTCTGTAGCTTCGTCACAACTACACTGGTACCTGTCGTTGTGAACGAACGCATGGATCGTTCACTTATGCACGAAGATTCTTACCAAAATTCAGGCAGCCGGGGCGTATTCCTGCGTCGAAACAGCTTCTCTCTCCTCACTCTACTGCTGCATTCATAGAAAACAACAGAGGTTTGCAATGTTGGCAAGATCAAGATTCGGTCAAATCTACGGCGAGCATCGGCTGGCTTTTCGTCTCGCAGCGAAAACACCAGCTTCACGACAAAATGAAAATGTAGCAGGTCGTCAACATGAACATACACAAACGAAAGGGGTTAATGCGCACTGTATCAACATGTGTTCTGTATGTTGCACATAGGCGACACATGGAGGCATCGGTGGAGGGTGGAGGGTGGAACGTGGAACCCTGAATCCGCCGCAGTTCGTTGTTACGGTTCGGGATGCGTGGCGGCGGGATCTGTTTGCCCGTGCTACGCCCAGCAACGCGAAATGCGACATCCTTGACCAGTGAGAGAACACACAGAGAGCACCTTTCATGGCTTGGCGGCCAGGACCTCGGTCCTCGTTGGGGCTCGGGTCGTCCGAGTACGACGAGAGAGACCCGTGGATACAGCGATTCATTTCCAAGACTGACGATGGCGAGCTATCGCTTGACGTGAATGTGAGCTCAGAGCGAAGTACATCAGTTCACACCACATCTGTAAACTACTGTTTTATGTATTTGTATACATGTACAGTAGTACCGCACACACCCGTTTTGGTTTCACGGTGTCAAGAGTTAAGCGTACGCTTTCTGGCAAGGCCTGTAGGGATGTTCTTGGAAGCTGTGCACCACGCCTCCACAAGTATCGTCTGGTCTACACCGTGTACCATTATAGCATGCAGCAGTAGTCTAGCACTTGGGGCGGCGTAGCAGTACCGCGCGTCCGCAAGACACCTTGGTACATACTGAAGTACGATTGATGGCACGAGCTAGCACACAATCGTCAGTGCTGCACACTCTGTGCCCACAACAAGCGTACGCTTGGCATGTACTTCGTGTGTTCGGTCTACGGCTGCAGCTCGAGTTATTACTATATCGTTTTGCCCGAGATGTGAAGCTCGACGTGGAGTTATTTAAATTAAAATCGACGTGCACGTAATTAAACCGGCAGTCCTGGACGGAATATATTCGCTGAGAACCCGTTTTCTGTCGGGGCAAAAGCCAGTGTCTGAGAACGATCATGGTGCAAAAGTCTTGATTTATTGCCAGCTGAAATATTCACGAAAACACCTTCCAGGGTCGATTGTGGATGCCTGTGAGAGAAATTCGACATACTTGGCGTTCTCCCAGACCCCAAAATCCAGGTAACATCGCCAGGGCACGTGAGCTGTGAGGCGTTAGCCGATCTGCCTATGAATCACCCCAGATTGACTCTATATTGAACCCACCAAATTGCAAGGAACTGAAAATCGCGAGGGTCCATCCTTTTCCCCGAGAAAATCGTCAAACTTGTAATGGTAGTCTATGTTTCCCTCGTCATGCTGTGTTTCCACGACCTCTGGTTTGTTGACATGTTCTTTCTTGACAAACCGACCGTTAGAATAGATGCTGTGGGTGTGTTCGAGTACAGTTGCTGGCGCAAGCCTCCCTTTTTGAAGTGAAGGCCAGCCCTTTCAAGCAGTACTCACCATTTAGAAGTGAAACGCAAAATTGCAAAGATGTGCACACACACAGAGGGGGCAGGAGCTGCGCCTTACTTTTGAAGGCCAGCAAGCAAGAGGAAACTTGCAGCGAAAAGACATGCAGTCGTGGCTCCGACATAACAAAGGGTGGTGTCACAAAGGCCCTCAACCCTCATGTATCGGAGCCACGCTGCAACAGAAAAAGAAAAACAATCTGTTTCGTGTACAACCTTCTTCCTAGGGCGACCCCGGCGGGTGAGTCAAAGACACCCGAGAAGGTGCAGACTGGCGCCCATGATAGATGAGATGAGTTCACAACACCAACATACTTGCGGATGATATAGCGATGAGCGTCGGTCTGGCGTACAACGAATAGGCACGTCCTTGTGCGCGCGTGGAGAAAGAAAGCCGCCCCATTGCTGTCCAAAACGCAAAAAATACGCTTGAAGACGACAGCCCATGAAAAACGGGCACATCTCTCTCTCTCTCTCTCTCTCTCTCTCTCTCTCTCTCTGTCTCTCTGCAGTCAACGTACAGAAGTCAAACCCTCGGTGCTGTCATCTGCACTCACTTGCCGTTGTCTGATGATCACGCGAGTTGAGTGCGGATTGAGAGATTCAGCGTCCCATACATCTGCATTCGTCTCGAACCAGGCTCCTCCTGATACTTTCTACTTGAAAATAATTGCTCTTCTTCAACGATCTTGAATCTAATGAAAAGCATGGTTCGTGTTGCCAGAGGTCATTTTTATCTCTCGATAGCAGCGGCATTCTACAGCAATCCCACCTGTTTTCAAAGAGATCAGCCGGTGACTTCTATAGCCTGCAGGTTTTCGCCTCGAAGCATCAACTACGAAGGATAGATGCGAATGGGTGCTGTCCGCTCTCAGCTGAAGGCGAGTGTCGTGTGGTTGAGCGATATGATGGTGTACAGCGGCAGGATTCATGACAATATCGTATCCTTGAGCTATACTCCTTGATCGATTTTAGCCGCGTAACAGAGCGCGTGGTGTCAGCACGGTGCAAGTTACGTGTGCCACGCAACAGCAAGCACTGCTGTTCCAAGAGATTAATAAACAAGTGAGTCTTCATTAGGGTCTACAGGGATCGCTACGCGTGTAATCCCACAACACACGGGGGTTTGTTCATAACGAAAGAGGAAAAATTGGTTGGCTCAAGCTTATACCGCTTTGCCGCACTCATCAAGACCTGCTTGACTGCCGCCCCCCGCCCCTCCCGCCCTCCGCTCGAGAAGCGATCCAGAGGGCTACGAGACATGTCATGGCCCCTCCACCATATATAATCCAACATCCTCACGATAGTATTGCACCCACGAGCCATGCGGAAAGAGTGAATTTTACCCCGTTCCGGCACGTGCTTCGCAGGCGATGAACGGGCTCGAGACCGCCGCCGGGGCGATCTTCGTCGAGTTAATTCGACAGCAGGCAGAACGTCCGGTGTCCCCGGCCGACTCTACGATATCCTCTTGGATGCCAGGGCAGGACATGGGCCGCCAGCGTCAGCGCCACCCAGCCGCAATGAGGGTACGGGCCCCAGCTTTTTGTCGGGTAGAGCCAACGTTCGACAATCGATCACCATCCGTAGTGTGGCATGCAGCTGTCTGCTTGGCATGCTGACCAATGCTTGAGCAAAACCCACGGAAGAATATTGTGAGCAGTATTGGCACCGTGTGCTTTCTTCGTAATTGTGTACCTCTTTGCCTGGGAGATACAAACACACCTTCGCGTTGCTAGTTCGTGTTTCGGCGGTGTCGACAACATTGCAAGCTGTGTTGCCATTGAGGTGCAGACTTGACCAACCACGGCGAAGGTCGGTGCCGCGCGTAGAACACATATTCTCATTTTTACGCCGTGAAGTTGTGAACGGGCTGAACGGCCCTATGCTGCGATATACTCTGCTACGGTTCGGGTGCATTCTTCTTCCTATGCACCTTCGCATGATTATCTGCAAATTTCCGACTCCATGCTGCAATGACACCTCCCTCCCTGACTATGCCAAGCATTTTGTTACGATACATAGGTGGACCCTCCGATGGCGCAGTACGAGCCCTTCCGGCGGACGTACGTGAGTGACCCTTCGTGCGTCCCACAGCTGCGATTCGCCAACGTCCCCGACACCGGTGCTGACCACGACAAGCGGGAGGCAAGCCGCCACTGGCGCCGTTCCGGTAGGACGTGGTCCAGAGTCCCTCGATTTCGCAAAGGTATGACTGTATGAAAGCGGCAAGATGAACAATTTACGCAGAACATACACTTTTGTATCGCATGGGTTACGCTGCAGCGAGCTCATCAGGGTAGTTACGACTGCGGCGTCCGGTATGAGATACGCCTCAAGCAGTTGCCACGGGACAAAACCGTGGCTTGCGTGCGGTAAGAGTGCATGTGTTCGCTCGCCCCGAAAGAATTACTTCCAAGGCTCGATTGCTCCACAACCAAGCGGTTGCTGTAGAAGCTGACCGATGCGTTCAGGACAAGCTCTCGGCGAGATCATTCTAGACCACCCTCTTCAGCTTTCTTAGCTTCTTGGCTATGGGCCAATCGGGCTATATATGTATATCAGTCAAGCGGGTGTGCGATGATTCGCATTGAACTACACTGTCTCCACACCACCCAGCCCAACTGATTAAATGAGCCTTGAGTGGAAACCGCCTGGATTGTGTGTATGACGTGCGAGGGAGTCAAAATGGCGCAGAGGACAGCGCGAAGCGTGTGAATGCACGGGGGCGACGCCAGAACGATATTTTCGCTGTGTAGACAGACTTCACACCTGTTAGGAAAACATTGTTTTCTCCACGAGAGGGAAATCAACCCCTATCCATGTGGAAAACACCGACACCTCAAACGACGAACATTCAAAGCCAGCCAGGACACCGCACATGCTCGCCCGGGGGGGCTAGCAGCCGATGGAGACACGACCAAGTGCAAGGTTTCACGCACCACCTCATCTAATATCGTTTTCGGGACGCGCAGGCGAAACGGCCTTCACGCACGACCCGAACTACAAGCCGCCGCACGCTGTCGTGGACAAGTGGTACATGACCGAAGCCGGACCCAAGGTCTCGCTGGCGGGTCGCGTGGAGGAGTCGAGGTGGCAGTCGTGCCACTCGATGCAGTCCGGCAGAGAGCCGCGGAAGCCGACGAGGTCCCGGTTGCCTCAGGACCAGCAGGAGAAGCCGAGGCCACCGGGGCCGGCGTCGTACCACATGCGTGATCCCTGGGAAGTGCGGGTGAGCGGAGAAGTCTTTCTTGCAAGCGTGAACCGAGCGGCATGTGGCTTCGGTTACTCATTGGTTCCGGACTTAACGGGCAGGCATTGGGGGGCAGAGCTGACAGCGGATAACGAACCAAGCGGTCTGTTTTTTTGGAGCTCGGGTGTGGAAGGCCAGCAGGCTGGAAATTCGTTGCCCCCACGCAAAGATGCGCCTGTTGCTTGATTTATTGAGAGAACCAAAAACAGGCGTTGCTATCCTGTCGCGCCTGCACTTGGCCGGGCGCGTAAAGTTTTCAATGAGCAATTGGACCTTCATTTTATTATGCATTTCAGGATTGTTCCCACTGCTGTGGAAATCAAGCGCAGGACAGAACTTTGGAAGAATGTTCCGGCTCAACATGCTCGTTGATGGTTCCTGTTGTTGGTACGTTTTACTCTCTCGTTGATTTCATTGCGTGGTTGCCAGTTCCACGTAGAACGCCGACACCTCAGGCGTGCGCTCAAGTTGTTGATGTGGTTTCGAACGATGACGCACGCGTCGTTGTGCGCGTACGTGCTTTGGAAGACACCCCTGCCGACCAGAATGACGGTTGCGCGCCCTGATCTTGTTTGTTTGTGTTGCGCCTTTGGTCAACCCTTTGCCGACGCCCACCATCATGGATGGATTTCGAGTCGACGCGTGCCCTCACCAACGCCCCGCCCGAACGGTCACTGCCTTTGTCTTTATGGAACCAACAGGAAGTGTGTGGAGCCGTCCCGAATTCAAGAGTGTTCTGCAAACCGGTCCGTCGGGTCCTACCGCAGACCTCGGCCTTCGCCGTTGCGCCCGGCGGTAGCTGCGACATGTCGGTGGACACTTCGGCCGCTCCACCCCCGTCCGCCGCCGGCGATGACGAAAACTCCGCCTTCAGATCAGACGAACCCCAGGCCCGGCCGGCGACGGCAGGGGTCGCCGCCACGGTCTCAAGCGCAACAGCTTTGACGGGGGCGGCACGTGATCTACCGTTGCACTCTCGAAGAGTCTCGCGAACACAACAACGCAGCGCTAGGTTCGGAGGCGGGGTTGGACGCCCCGGCACCAAGACCTCCCCCGGCCGACATCAATCCGGTAACAACCTACTACCGCCCGCCGCCGCCGCGGTGCGGGCGGCGCGAGCGAGGCCGGCGGCGGCGGTCGGCCCGTCGTCCTTCGCGCGAGCGGAGAGGCCCCACATCGCCGACGAGGGCAGGCGGAAGGAGGAGAGCTACGGGAAGAAGGTCGTCCGCCTGCTGACGGGTGACGGGGATGTCCTGGTGACCGTAACCCGGCGGCGCGCGAGCGCGTGGGGCGACGTGGAACCCCCTCCTGACGGTGCCGCGGGGTCGTCGAAGAGCGGGGCCGTAGTAGCGGGGCCTAGAGCGGCCACCACAATCGATCGCGAGCGGCAAGCCGGGGGGGACGGGAATGGGCGGCGGCGGGCGGCGGCGGCGGCGGTGGGGCGGGGGCGTAACGCTCCCGGAGGCTGGAAAACGTCAGACGGTGGGAGCGGTCGGGATGCGCTCCCGAGCACGAGCGCGATACGAAAACGACAGCCTACAGCACCTGGGGTCCACCCGCCCGCAACGAGAGAGAGCTCTCTGGAGTCGCGGGCCAAAGGGCTTCTCCCAGACGACCTTACGGCTTCGCCTCCGGTTTACCGGGAGCCCGGCAAGTCCGAGCTACCGGTGATATTCCGAGCGACCTCGGCGCCCATCGTCAGAGCCGTCCCGAGCTTGAGAGCAGCGGAGCGCCTGAGATGGGGCAGAGCGCCGGCTCGCGCCAACCAACGGGGTGCAATTTCGAGCCCGGATGGCAACGAGAGCCGCCACGCGGTACCCCTGGAAGAGGGCGGGTGGCGCCAGGAGCTGTGTGAGGAAGAAGCGGCGCACATATCCCGAGTAGTCCGCTCTGCGGAAAGCATCGTGGCCAAGTCTAGCGGTCGGAGTTTTGGTGGTGGTGGTGGTGGTGGTGGTGGTGGTGGTGGTGGCGACGTGGAACGTTCGAAGAGTGGCGTAAGGACTAGGATCCCAGCTCCCTCCGGCCAAGACTTGGGGCAAAATCTTGCCGGCGGGGATGATAGCGCGGAGATGCCGCAAACAGGACTAAATGACGGCTCTTGCGACTATGTGAGCTCGACGATATGGTCGGGCGGGGAAACCGCAGAAGTGTCTGCTCCTACGGAAGCCAGATAGAACGCAGGCTGCCGTGCCCATCCTCAAAGCGGAGTCTTGCTTCCACAGCAGCAATGAAATAGGACAAGTGGCGGAGCACCTGGAACCAATCGAAAACGTTTCGCAAGGCATCGTTCACTCTCGGATGGGGCGAGTCGAGGGTGGCACGAGATTACGCCGATAAGCTTTGACCAAGTGCTGTGCTCGCAACGTCTATATGGCAACATTTTCGGGTGGAGAGCTGTGTGCATATGAGCGAATTCGAAGAAGCTCTCCTGCAACGTGTTGCTAGCTAAGTTGAAGAGGGAACTTGCACGCGCATTTTGAGCTCGCACCCTGTTCTTACCCTGAGACGCAGGGTCTTCTTTGAATTGATCTTGCAAGGCCGGTTGAATATTGGTCCGGCAGTCATGACGGTGGACGAAAATGGTGATCGGGAACCGAACCATGCCGTAGGTGTTGTCCAGGGACCGTACGAGGAGAAGCGTTAGGTCTCGTGCGAAAGCAGTAGTAGTTGAAGTTGGAGTAGCTTCTACAGGGACGCGATAACAGACGGCTACAACGGTACTGGAGTTCCGAGACGGCCCGAGAACAATCGTGTTCTTGCCCTCGCGTGGGACGCGAGGAGAAAAATCGGGGGAAAATGACTCTAACACTCAAGTGGGTGACGAGTGAAACAAACAACTCGTTGGAACATACTCCTTGCGAGCTTCACTTGTCTGATCCGTGCCATCGTTCAGCGTCGAATGAGGGCGACAAGGATGTGTAGCTGGCGCATGCCTGCACCCCGGCTTCAACCTTGGTGCCAGAACTCGTTTCCGGCCATCAGCCATCAGGAAACGAATCACCTTCTTTTCCTGCGTCCATCGGCCAAGCAGCTCCGGAATGCCAAAACGGGAGCTCCCTTTTGGGTGCAGATTACTGTAGCACCGCCGGCGAGCGTATTTTCCGTCCTTCGCCTCCCACAGGTTCGTCGCCGTTTCGATTTTTCGATTCATCGCCCCGCCGTACCCGCAGCGGCTGACAAGATATACTAATGTTGAGAGACGTTTGACATCCATGCGTTGTGCAACAAACAAAAAAGTGCTAGTGTCGGAGAAGCGATGTTGTGGACAACCATGTATCATGGAGTTTTCACTTCAAGTCCTATTCCTCCTGCAGAACGTTGCACTACGGTCCCTGCTGTTGCGCAGTGGTTAAGTCATTTCGGAATGACGTGAGGCCCGCGTCTCTGTACACAACGCTGTTGAATATTCTACTGCGAACAGTCGAAACGGGCCGCATTCTATTGTCAAACCGCGTCCTTCTCGTGCCCGGAGGATGTGAAGCAGAAGATTCACACTCGGTCATATAAAGTGGTTCTTCCCAACACCAACACCTCTTTCGGATCAAACTTGACACCTTGGGTTGCGTCAACTCACAACATCGGGAGCGAGTGTAGCACAACCAAAACACCAAAGCGATCTATCCCGAAGAAAAAGGAGCCGTCCATAACGCACATCGTTGTAATGTGGTGTACCCAGGGCATCCATCTAGCCGTGTCACCAAATATCAAGGGTTCTTCGACGACCACCATTGGCGCCATGCCCGTCATGCCTTCATATTCAGACCCAAAATACAGACCAGCATTGTTCAATACCCAGTGGGGGTGACTCCTTATTCCTTTCGTCTCCCTTTCGTCCGCCCCCTTGTGCTCTTCGAATCGCCCGCCGTGGCAGCGTTGGTAACTTTGAAACGTTCATCCACCACCAGGCTAAACAAATCATGCGGCAACCCTGCCCTCGCCAGCTGGTCGGCGCCCAACGTTTCCCCACGGATTCTAACCTCTACGGCCGCCTCGCTAGGCCCAGACCCACGACGTGTGTGACTCAATATCTTCCCGGCGCTCCTAGGATCCTTCTTCCTCTCCCACTCATATCCTTCTTCTTCCTCCGTCTCTTCCTCGGCTTCCTCGGGTCGTGAGCCAACTAGTTCAGGGTCCGAAACTGTCACCCGGGGGTGTTCGGGTTTCCTTTTAGCCCCACGAGACTGGGGATGGTCCTCTGCGGCGTCTCCCGCGAGGAGAGAGGCGTCCGACGTGTCTTCGAACAGAAGGGGGCCGAGCTCTCGGGGTAGCCCGTCCGCCAGGCGAAAGGGCACGGCGTTGGTTACAACCGCACGTGTCGCGCGAGGTGAAGACGATTCATCCTCCTCGTGGTCGTTAACTCTCGTGGCGTGACGCTGCTTCCCTACCGATGGTGCTGCAGGAGGCTCTTGTCCTCCTTTCTTGCCCCCCTTCTTCTCGTCCGGGAGGACGAAAAGGTCAAACGCCACCGAATCAAAGCCCAGCTTTAACGACGAATCCCTCCGCGCGACCGCCCGTGCATCGATCTTCCAGCAGCCCTTCGAGGACAAGCTTGACCTGTACCCCCACATCCCGCCATCTGCTGCTGCTGCTGCTGCTGCTGCTGCGGAGCCTTCTTCGTTCTCCCGGCCAATCTGTCGAACTCCGGTGTCCCCCGCCTCCGCGACAGAGGACGACGTGGACTGCTCTCCGTCGCCGCCTGCCCCGTCTCCGGGGGTCTCGCGTGCGGTGCTGACGGCATTATTGGTGGTGGATCGACCAGCGCTGGTCGCCTTGGTGGCGGGAACGGAAGCTCTTTCGCCCGGCTCATCTGCAAACGCCGCCTTGAGAAGGTCGGGGTTCTCCAGGAACGGCCCCAGAATGTCCGCGATGAGTTGGTTTGTCTTTTTCCTGTCCGCCTTCATGTCGATATTGTTTTGAACGAGGAATCAGGGCGACGCCCACAGGGATGAAACGTTTAGATACTCAGTCACAACTACATTGAACCTCTTGCTGCGTGGAAGCAGAATAGGGCCCAATTGTTTTCATCTCAATACCCCCATTGGCCCCCGGCGGATCTCGCGCAGGAGAACAAGGCACGTGCGGCGGATCGCCACCTTCGCAATCAATCTTCCGGAGACATAATTGCTTCCCTAACCCGAAAAATATAATGAATCTGTGACGGTCACGTCTCCCAATGCCGTACCGTTTTATGAGTTTGGGCGTGGACAATGCAACAATCAGATGTCTCACTCACCAGATTTTCCCAAAACACAAAGGGTGACGCCTGCGACACCGCCACGAGACTACCGCGGTGCACCAGGGCGATGAATCTGTGTGAAGCAAGTGCCCACGGAGGAAATACCTGTATCTATTCGCCGCAACGGGAATGGGTGACGTAGCGCAGGAGGAGAGGTGGTGAGGACGAGAATGAAAAAGGATGGCGATACCTTGCCATGAAAATACGCACGCGGCCTTAGGCCACCGCCGACTGCTGGTTTGAACGGGTCGAGAGGGAAGTTTTCGGCTTGAGCGGCTTGGTCGTTGAGCGAGGCGAAGTGCGACCTTATCTAATACCGTACATCGAATTTGTTCAAATTGTTGTTCTTAAGGTAAATACAACCGCAGCAGTTCGAAACTTTGATGATTGATTGATAGAATCGCCGCGAAATGCACTGAAGAAGCTCAGTTCGAGGGTATGCGTCTAAGGGTGCGCGTAAGAACTCCATTGGACGAGGTTTGCATGCGATCTGCTGGAGGAGCTGGGACATCGCCACCCGAAAAGCTTGCAGATTGTGCTGGTGGTTCTGCTGGTCCCACAACAATACGAACAGCCCGCAAAAAGGAAAAATACCGTATTCCGACAAGCACCAATAGAAGACCAAACCCTTCAAGGCAGATATGCTGTTCAACGTTCCGAACATGTTTCTGGGAAACGTCGCCACAATAAAACATCGCCAACGAGAACGGTCCAACGAACGACCCATGCAGTGTACAGCATGGCATCCAGACACCACCGAGGGAGCAAAGTCTTGGCACCCAGTTGCGCTTACCCCTAGACCGAAAGGGGACGAGGATTTTTTCTCCCAGGCCTTCTTGTTGCGGCCTAACCTTGAAGCCTCGTGGATGCAGCCGAGCACTCGCTTCCTCTGGAGAAGAGAGGCCACCGCCTCGGACGCGTCTTCGTGCAAGGAGTCTTGCAGCAATCTCTAACCATCATGTCGGCCGCGCCGGGTCCGGCAAAATCCGTGTGTGTGGGAGGAGAAGTTGAAATCAGAAAGCGTGGAGTTTCAAGAGGCATCGAAATCGATCTCATGGGTGTTCCTACTTTGGGCAAGCCTTGTTGTTGTGGAGGATTTTGTAGAGGGTTCCTTGGTCGATGTGTTGCAGCGGGGAAAATACCACCTTGCACCCGATACGGCATCTCGTCGATGGTGTTGGAACAATCAAAGAGCGGCAACGCCCTAGCACTTAAGATGCAGAGGGCCGTTCACCAGGGATACATCCGAACACCTCGATGCTTGAACGTGCCCACCACGGCTACGTTCACTCTCAAATCACCTGCTCGAACGCTGCAAGGTTTTCGTTGGTCGTGGGCACCGAGAGCTTGGCTTCTCTCCTGCCTGTAGACTTCCCGCGACCCTCTCGGCTGCCCGACCTGGGCGTTCGTCTAGCACTCACGCCGCCTCCGCGGTTCGGTGAAGTCTTTGGGGATTTCCCTTTGTCGTTCGTGCGCTCTGCACGTAGTCGAGCTGCTTCTTCTTGCTCGCGCACCTAATTCGAGCACAGGTGGATGGCACGGACGCATCGAGGGTGCCAATTAGACACGGGGGACCATGTCCATTTGGGCGGTTAATGTATTCCGTCGCTTGAGAGTTTGTCGGGCGTTGAACGTTTACTCCGTCGAAACGAGCCTGTCCTGTATGCGTGGGGGCCGGCAGAACGTAGGCATGGGGGCAATTTCGTTTTGGCGATAACATACGCAGAACACCACGGTCTTGCTGAATGCCATGATTGAGTAGAAGCTCCTACCAACTCAACGAATCCAGAGGACGCCGTCAAAGAGTGCTCTGCACTTCGAGCATGCGTTAAGAGTGTGTTGGAACATGGGTGATCCGCTCGAGAACCGGCGGCGGACAAGCGAACTTCCCTTTTTCGTAGCAATAACCCCGAAGCCCCCAAAACATCCCCGGCCGCCCCGTGAAACGGTTGGCGGACGACTTCGTAGTAACAAGGTTCCGTGGCCAGATGCTGGAAAAATCAAAACCCGCCCTACCTGAGCATCGATTCGGTGCCACGCAGACATGATCTCTGTCACGACGGCCTCCCGCGCTCCGTCCCCGGGCTCCCCTCCTCGGGGATGCAACACCTTGACGGAGATAGCAAGGGGTTCACTACGCGCCCCGCCCGCCCGCCGTTCGGGTGTGAACGAACATGGTTTTGGCGCACAGGCCAACGCCAAAGGGTGGTCATATTAATACAAGTTACCATGGCACTGGTAAAAGTCGTCGTTCAATCTTGCACCTCTATGCTATGGCGAACGTACGAGGGTAAGCGTTTGGGTCACAGTCGTTATCCCCACCATTGTAAAAGGTGCGGCACGTTTCGGCGACATTGTGTGTTATTACTCGTGTGCGTGTTTGTCGCGATTCGGAATGTGTATTCGGTACTGCGTCGCATGAGCTGGTGCGCTTAGACGGACCACGTCCACACGAACTCGCGACCCTTAGATGCCCACAACAGACAAAAAACGCGCGTTACCTGCCCGTACCGAAGCAGGTGAGAGCCGCTTCCTCGAGGGACGCCATCGCACGCTCGACCAACTTCACCACCTCCACCAGGGCAAGCAGCCGCGCCGCGCGGGCGTCGCGTCTGTTCAGCTCGGCTGAAAAGCAAGCAATAACAATACGTATGATGGCCGCGCAACACCTCAGTCGAGCTGTCCGCACCACCCTCGTCCTTCATTATCTCCGACCCGAAAAGAGCTGCGCATATGTTGGCGCACGACACGTACGCCTCCTACTCTAACAGGCCTTAACGTCACTTTCAAGCCCCAAAGTGGGTGCACCTTGGCGCGGACCCCAAACTCTAAGGCTAGCTGCCTACAACTGATCTACAGTAACCGTGTTTGTTTCCTCAGGCGACTCAGCGAGCCCTACCGATCGGTGACCTGACCTCTCTGATCGTCGAGCAAGGAGTTGGCGAGAGCCAACCGGGCCTCCCGCTTCCGCCCTTCCCCCTCCACCCTTCTCGCGGCCGCCCGTGGGCTGGGCAGACTCTCGTTCTTCAGCAGCGCGGGGGGGTACCACGTCCGGAACAACCCCTCGCCGCCGTCGCCGCCACACGCAGGCGAACGATATCCGCCGCCGCCGATGCCGCCGGCGTAGCTCGCCCTGCCGGGCGCGGTGGCGGCGGCGCCGGGGGCGCCGGGGACAGCGGCTCGGTGGCTCCACACGTACTGCCACGCTCCCGAGGCCACGTCAAGCTCTCGACGGCAGCCACCCCTGAGGAGAAGCACGCGGGCAAGACGCCGAGCCAACCAACCCCTAACCACGGCCTGCAGTCTAGTCTTCGAGGAGCGACCGTCGTTGCGCAAGGGGGAAACAAGAGAAGGCAATAGGTACTTTGAGTCTAGGATCGTGCGGGGTTGTGGCAGTATAACCCCGTTGTGGATTAGACATGGGACACCGAGGAATGATGGCTTGCTGACTGCTCTCTACAGTTGGCCGCCTCACTGTAGGCATAGTGCTTGGATGGTATGCTGATATGATTGCGTGGCACCTGGTGAGCTGAACGCTGTTGATCCAGAGATTCGATCTTTAGATGAAACTGCGCGCAAGGTCCCACCTCTATGTATTCCCCCCACCATTCCAGTCTTGGAGCACTGCCACCGTATGGAGCAAGTGGCATTGAGGATCTCCGCCTACATTGCCCTTTCATGGAAAGAGATACGGACTCACCACAAGAACTTCGGTGCGAGGATGATTACGCCGGTTGGCGAATGACACCTCTGTTGTCGCCTCCTTCACGATCGCCGCTGCTTTCGTTGCACGCCGTGGTGGGTCCTCTTCGGCTAGCACCTAAACGTACAAATCAAGAGTACAGTAGTCGGAGTACGCAAGCGATTGGATCGAGGACGGGTCGGACAAACGACACATCCATAAGGGGATTTCCCATGCCAAGCTGCTCCTTTCGGAGCACGAACCTAGCACGCCATGGCATTGCCCCCTCCCATCTTTGCTATTTCAACAACAGACACAACAGTGCTGGAGCAAACGTTCCTAGAGTGGAAAACCTGTCCGAAACGGCCAACGAAGCACAAAATTCGTTGGCCTCACCTCCTCGGCAAACGCCTTGACGGCCGCAACAGCAGTATTCGAAAAGGTTAGCATTGCTCCCGGGACAAGCTTCGGCCGTGAGTCCCCCCCGCACCTTTCAACCCGCCCCCCCTCTTCAATGCCATTGAGAATAGCACCGAAATCGCCTGTGCCCGTCTCATTATTCGGCTCTAGCTCCGTTGGGCGCTCCGGTCGGGGACCCTATGGCGTTGTCGAATGCAGACGAAACCAACCGTTTACAGTGAAGGTGTTACGGACCGGTTGTATTCGTAGCGAACGCCCAACTCCAGTTAGCACTCCCTTCGTTCCGCCAAACACTTAAAAGAGGTATGCTTCCCTGGTTTTCAGGTGTGCTCCTTGACGTACGTAGACACCCACAATTGTAGTTGGAAGAATGTTTTTCCCGTTGACTGTTGAATACCGGCACGCCTCGAGAGTCAATAGCGATCACTAACGCAATGGAAACTGTGGCGGGATACATAAAGTCATACATGAAGATTAGGAATACATAGTCCGTGGGGCTGCATTGATCCATGAAGCCCTACAGGAGGCAGTGTACCGCGGACATCCAACGAAATGGGGATAGGGTTGTGCCGTGTACCTGAAGCAATGAGCAATCAGCCCAATTCGTTGGATGCCGCATGAGTAGCATATCACGTCGTGCTCGAGCCCACAACAGTTCGCGCTCAGCCTCCTCTTGCCGCCGGAGATCCTCAGCCGCCCGTTGCTCTCTCTCGACACTTTTCATCACCTTTGCCGTAAGCTTTGACGTCGCGATATTGCATTTGCATTACAATAATATTCAAGTGGCAGGGGCGTTAGGGGAGAGGTGACGCAGGTTGGTGTTCGTGTCTCTAGTGTTTCCTGTTTATGTCGTGAACCGGGTGTTTGAGACGCTTGCAATGGGGGCCAGTTGCAGATATCCCGATTGCCTTTGAGTGGACCTAACATGTCATCTGCATCATGGATCCCAACCTCTGTCCAAAGCAGTTAATGAAGGGGTGCAGAAGACGAGACTGCCACTGCTGTGTGACTCATGTCGCGTGTGGATTCATATGCGCTACATGTACATGCCTCACATTGCACGTGAGGCATCCTTGGCCATGCCGAGGCGCTCCCTGGCTGTCCCTTGTGTCCCATTTGCTAGAAGGGAAGGTGTGCCGGCAGTCCTTGAGTTGCCGCAGCGCCGGTGTCAGCCCACCCGCCATCAACGCTGACTGCATTTTGTGTCTTGGCACCAAAATGGTTTGTCGTTGCAACACTACCGAAAGCAAAAATCGCGCAGCGAGCGCAAAGGTACGTGTCCAATGAGGCTTCTTTACTTTACACCCGATTTACTTGCCAAATATATCTTGGACGAAGCCCCGCAATTTTCTGGCCCAAAATCAGGGAAGATCTCCACGCTCTGAGAACGGCGAAATCTATTGTTGGTCTTGTTGTTCGATATCGGTGATGTCGTCGGATAGATGAAAAAAAATCACGGCGGTTACAGATTTTGAAATTCCCCCCGCCCGCGCTTTTGGTTCTGCTGTGAACCACGGTGCGGCAACAGCTGTGCGAGGTGCGAGTGTGTGACAAGACCGGGAACAGTTCACCCCAGTAAGAAAACGCAACCCGCTTAAGCGAGGCCTCACGAAGTGCCTACGGGAGGTGCCTGCGGTGGTCATGTGAGTGGGGTGGGGTATCGGTGGTGCGGGTTCCATCATCTCCCATGTTTTGGATTGGCTTGTCTCTTGACTCTCCTTGCGACGGGCCGGAGACAACATCGACGCTATACTGCTGTATAGGTTAGGTGGTGTGGCTGAAAGCCATATGTCTTCAATGCTCTGAGCAAGTTGGCAACGAGAATTTCCCAGGGTTCTGCGTACTATCAGACAAATAAGCAGGGCACAGCGTGGAAGGTAGCGGCGCTGCATCAACTGGTCAACCGCAAAGCTGCTGGAAGATAGAAACACTTGAAGGTTGGAGAAACAGCAGTCAGTACCTCTGTAGTAAACAGGGCGTGCCTCTCCGTTGATCCAGCTGCCCCTCCTACTTCTGCCTCGCTGCTACTCCCCCTGGCGCCCTTATTTGTGCTCAGGTCTAAATTCGACAAGTTTACGATGGTGGACCCCCTCGGGGCTGACGAGGAGGAGGTGAGAGTCGGAATGTGTGATTGCTATGTACGGCCAGGTGATTTTCAAATGCGGCTACCGTCTACCGTCCGTGACACGAGATACCTCACCCCCTGCGCCGATTTTTCAAAGCCGATTACTCCTCACAGTCGATCGAGTGGCACTGCCGAAATTGGCGGCGTTAGAACTGTCTCGTCGAGAGCTTTCAAAAAACGCTTCGGTTGATTCTGGAATTCTCCTCGTCGTGGAGTAATCGGGGTTTGAAAAAACGATGCAGGGGGTGTGATATCTTACGCAACCAATGGTATCCCATCCTCGTGTAAGAAGACAGCGTGACTCATCGGGTGCCAACTTTCATTAGACGGGCGTAGGCTGTAACCGCCGGAACTAACGCGTATCTACAAAGTAGGCAACGACGAGGCATGTTCTAAATAGCGGTCAGCGCCGAGCTGAGGGGGGACCCGTCTTTTCCACCTCTCTGGAAAGGGTCTCTATCACAGTGGTCCATCAAAGGCACCACCAGCAACAGTCGGTGCGCATGCAAAACTGATTGGTACGCCGCTCTTGGCGTTCCATGCCATCCTCTTTTTTGTTACTCTCCCACATGTTCGTTACAGTGTCTCTCTTGCTCTCTGACATTATGTTGTCGGACACACGTTAGTTTTAGAAAAAATTGCACACGTTAACGGAAAAGACCACTGTACCCGTTAGTTATTCTAACGTACCACAGCAGTCGAGGGGAATGTTTAGATATTCGTTCTTACGTGCGAGTAAACCGCGTGTGCGTGAAACCGCCGCCGTTCCTGAACGCTCGAAAAACATGAAAAAAACGCTTCGCCGGATGGGCGGACGAGAGAAGAAGAGTATGCAGGAGATGGTCGCCAACGAGGTGAATGACCGCATGGGCCGCGCGGTCGGGGAGCTCAAGGACAAGTACGAGAAGGGCGGCAAGGGCTACGACGCCGCCTCCGACGCGCAGGTGAAAGACCAAAAAAAGAAAAACTTACAAAACAATAAAGAAAGCGGGTTGATTGGTCGACGTTTTGCGTTCAGAACGACAACCTGTACAAGCTCTGCATCCTCCTCCCAGTTCTTCTCCAGCTCCACGACCCGGGCTCGCGATGGCGCGCCAGCGTGCTTACACCACAATGTTTCGTTTCTCTTCATGTCTTGTGCGTTTCTTCTTGCGTAAGCCCCGTCGATTGGCGGAGTATGTACCAAGCAGTGTTCACGCTGATGGCGTTGAGGGAAAGAACGGGAGGTGCTTCAATCACCCCCTTTGCACCGCAAGAGGCTCGTTTTGTTTTTTTTTGCGATCGCCGAACACGCTCTCCCTTTCTCTCGCATGACGACCACTACTGCGAGAAACGCCAACAGGACCGCGTCCATGACATGCATGCATGCACCTCGCGATCCACCAGAGTTCATCCGCCCTCACTCAGTTCTCACGCCCACCTTCCCACCCTGCTGCCACCAACGTACCCAAGCCCCCGCCCGACCGTCGCTTCGTTACGCAATTTTCTTTTGCAACACGCAACGCTCACGAACGAACGAACGAACGAACGAACGCGATCTTGTTGTGCCGAAGCCCACCGGGGCAGCCTACGCGCAGGCCCGGGAGCAGGAGAAGCAGAGGAAGAAGGCCATCAGGGACCAGAGACGAGCGGCGGAGGCGGCCACGAGGGAGGAGGACGCGGAGCTGGCGGCGCAGATGAAGGCCTCGGCGCGGCTGAACGGGGAGGTGCGCAACAAAAGAGCATTATTGCTGTGGTCTTCACGCGTTGTTTTGGCACCCTAAACATACCCAGATACTTGGCATCGTAGAGACTTTCAAAAACATGAACCTGTTTTTATTGGTTTTGCAGCTTCTTTTTTTTTCGTTTCAACGTTGTCCAAAACGCGCCGCGGACCCGGGCTTGGGTATGGGTTACATTGTAGGGTTGGGTCCACCCGTACCCAACCCATTTTTCAGAATAATCACCCAACACCTGAAATCTCTTGTTTCAGGTATGTTTCTTGAGCCAACGTCGTGAAGGCCCCTCGAAAATAGAGTCACGGGCAGCGGCGGTAACGGCGGTAGACGGTAAACGGGGGCACCGGCAACCTAAGATGGAAAGTGGCCAATGGCAGGACGTCATTGATCTTGTCCTCGAGATTCGGGGTCTCTGCTGCTTCATCCCTCGATGACGCGATTTGTTTTAGCCCGGTTTCTTGACACTGCTCTGGCCATACGAGCTGACGACGACTGGTGGAACGTAAGGAGCCCTTCGTGCCCTATTGGAACAGGCATACGTTCGCGGTGTGATTTGGTCGCCTCACCGCTACTGACTGTATTGCGGGGGCATGTGTGTCAGAATATGCCCCAAAGACAGGGCGTGGTGTGCTTGTTCTCTTCTTCAGCCGTGTGGCCCTTGACGACGGAGAAGAAGGACTCTGCCGCTCCCGCTTCGATAGCCCGCTGCCCCAATTTCAGATCCCACCGCAGCCTCCTTCCCTCTGGCGACAGAGAAACACATACCAGGCTTGAAAACCGAATCAGCTACAACGTTCGACGAAGACGCTCGCCTGTCGCTCTGTCGAGAGGAAGTAGCCGAAGCCCCCGAAAACACCGCTTACGCAGTAAATGGTTTTGTTCTTCTGCCTGCCGTTTGTTGTGGTGTCCATCGTGATCACCGCTACGGTGATGGATTTTGTCCCTTCCCGTTTTCCGTTCCGGCCGCTGCAGGTGGATTCCGAAGACGAAGACGGGGGGGATGGTGGAAGCGACGATGTGGATAGCGACGACGAGCTGCTCGCGGGGTTGGATGCTGATCCGGAGGTACGGAACTTTTGGGCAGTATCACCTGGCGGCGGTCGTGGTGGCGGTGGTGTTGTCTCGTGTTTTTTCTAGTTCAGTACACTGTTGTCCTGTCTTCCCTTTTGCTTGTAACGAGGGTTCGTTCCCGTGGAGAGCCTGTTTGTGCTTGCAAACTGTGGATACAGGCCTCCATACTCCTGACTGCCCCTCCCCTCCCCCAAACAAAGACAACCAGAAGCGCACTCGCCGTTAGGTGCTTGCAAATTGTGGATATCGGCCTCCATACTCTTGACTGCCCCTCCCCTCCCCCAAACAAAGACAACCAGAAGCGCACTCGCCCTTTGGTGGTGCTGTATTTGTAGCGTGGCTCACTGCGACTGCTGTCACGATTCGTTCTTGTACCTTTGATGGGAGAGTCGCATGTGCTTGTTTTATGTACACCAACAAAGATTACGCAGACGAACATGCTGAACCTGTACGCGGCTACGTCCGCGGTAGTAGGAAGGGCATGTGTTTCCACCGCAACCCTGAAGCAGAGCGAAAAGAAAATCTTTTGGAGCGATGTGTTAACTTTCTTACGTCCCCCCACCCTCCAGACTCGCGCCGGCCCGTCGCATCCCTCTAGCCCAGCTTCAACAGTGTGCTGCGTATCGAATGCACCGCTGGTTTGGTCGTACTTCCGCCATTCATCCAGCCAAGCAATCGTGTTTGGTGGTATATGCGTTGAATGCTTTTGGGTTCGTGGCGCTCTCGTCCCAACTCTTGGTGCCTGGATTGTCCAAGGCCGGCATTTTCGCGCTTGTTGCTCCCCCCCCCCCCCCCCAACAAACAAACCCCCAAACCATTAAAAATTCCCCCCCTGGGCTTTTTTTTTTTCGGGGGGGTCGCCCCCCCCCCCCCCCCCCCCCCCAAGGAGAAAAGAGGGGGGTTTTTGAAAAGATTTTTTTTTCCCCCGCGCGCCCCCCTTTTTTTTTTTTTTTTCGCCCCTTTGGGGGGGGTTTTCCTTTTTTTTTTTTTCCCG